TTGATCCTGGGCATTGCACACACTTAGGCAAAGGTGCTATCATTGAGCTACAGCCACCCCCAGTCCTCACTGCTTGCTAACACAAAATTACTTTCTTGTTCCTGTTTTTACACATATTTTGTATGTAAAATCCTAAATTTCTGCCCTTAGAAACTTTATGTACCCTTGAAGGCCTTCCTGAAGCTCCATGTTTAACTATGAGTCTTCTTCCTTTGAAGTCACAAAGGACTAAACTAGTGACTGATAACGTTTATCATAATAATGTTCAATTACTTATAGAAGACTACACATATTTAGCCATCCTCATCACACTGAATTCTAGAGAGCAGAAGTCCCTACTTTAACTGTCTCAAGTCTCATCTCCTGTCCTTGTCTGAATTACTACATGATACATTTTGCAGAAAGCTCTCAATGTTTGCCTCGTAAATAACTTGAGTGCGAAAGTAAAACAAATCTTAGGGAAATTCCAGCCACGGTTAAGTTTATGCAACTGCAGCACTCCTGGACCAAGCATAAGGGCAGAAGTATAAAGGATGATGGCAAGGTGGCTGCACTTAACTGGGAAGGAAACAAGCAAAAGCCTAAAGACAAATGATGAAAAGAAACTTGGTGCCCAACCAGGTGTTTGCTCGGAGGTAGAACTGTCTGATAGGAAGAATATTTCCATAGACTCCTTAAAAAGTGAAACAAGATAAAAAATTTAATAACAGTGACTCATTTTTACCCTTGAATTAAGTCTTAGAAATCTGGTGTCTATAACTGAGTTTCAGTGGCTCATGACTGTATTCCTACCCAGAAGGCTGACATCTGAGGATCATTGTTCAAAACCAGCCTGAGAAGACAAATCTAAATGATTATTATCCCCAATTAACTAGCAAAAAGCTGAAAGTAGAGTTGTGGCACAAGAGGTAGAGTGCCAGATATGAGCAAACAAGCTTAGAGACAGCACTCAGACCCTGGGTTCAAGCCCCAATATTAGCACAAAAACAAGATACGGTTTTACACAAAATGATCACCCATATACTTACATTTATTGTTATTAGGGTCTACAAAGCCTAAAAATTGGCTAACTATTCTTCTCCTTCTGTGCAACTGCCAACCAAAATCCAAATCTTACCAAAAAGTGCTCACTAACCATCAACGTTCCCCCTGGGCCTCTATTTGTAGTATCTCTAACATAGAAGCCCTGGATTCAAGACCACAGTCACATTGAGAGAACAGGACACATCTACCACATTCTGACAATTATTGAAAAGGCTCTTTATTCTTTTTTAAACTACCAAAGAGATACAAAGTAGGTATCTCGATGTTTGTTCAAAAGCTTATTGCTCTTAAGGGAAATAGAGTATGTTCCTGTAAAATAGCATAATATGCCACAGGTGAAAGTATTAACAGCTACACACTTGGGCAGAGATAAACGTTTCTCCACTCAAGAGTACCACTTGATAAAAATCTGACACCTAGCAAAGAGAAAAAAAAAATCTAAAGATAGGGCACACAGCAATCTTAAAAGACATAAGGTATAAATTTCCCTTTCTGTTCTTCCATGATACACTTCTTATGCCATATAAAAGATGTTAAATCTAACATTTCAAAGCTGATCAGATTATTTTCCTCTTCTCCTTGACTTCATGCAAAGCAGAGGGGGAAAATTTTAAGAAACAAACATCCAATTTGGACAGCACAAGTGTTCAGACTGTCAACCCTACCACAAAGCCACAGCATTTTGAATACCTGGGCTCGCTCTCTCTTATTTTCACTGGCTCTTCTACCTCCTTCCATTGCCTAGAGCAGGATGAATGCTGGGCTGCTAGGCCTGTCTTCAGTCCTCTTACTTCTCTCCTGCTTTATCAAGCTCATCTTCCTCGCCTTATTGGTTCTCCTACCTTAGTACATTTAAGAAATGAATTCTAAAAAAATCCTTACCCATCACAGAAATAGTGTACTATAGCTTAGTGGTTGTTATTTTCTATCATCACATAAGTAGACACAATTTCAAGAACTAACCTAACACAGATGGAGTACATAAATAAAAGTTCTTTGGAAAGAAAACAAATTAATGACATAAGATGAGGAGATCTCTAGTGTTTAGAGGGCACTTACCTTTAAGGGCAGGTCAGTCTAACATGGACCGAAGGGGATATCTGGGACATTGGGCTTTTGGGGAGACTCAAGAGACTGGACACTGTTCCTTAGCTTTTATACTTAAGGCTGGTGCTCTACCACATGCACCACATCTCCACTTCTGGTTTTTTTCGGGGTGCGGGGGAGTGTGTTAACTGGACTTTCTGGCTCAGGCTGGCTTCGAACCACGATACTCAGATCTTCGCCTCCTTAGTAACTAGGATTACAGGTGTAACCCACTGACACCGGCATTGGGTTCTTCTTGAGAATGGATTCACAGTATTGAGTTTTCTCTGGCTTAGCCTCTGACTGCCTGAATGCGTATATTTTTGTACCACAGAAGCTACCAGCTGAGCTGGGTGTACTTGGTAAACAGGAAAGTATTACAGAGCAAGTTCCCCAACTCTGGGCACAAGTCCTCTATAATGGGGGTCCTGCCATTATACACCAAATCTACGTTCTTGGTATTTAGTTTCATTCTCTGCAGTCACCACATAGACAGATTTCTTTCTTCTCAGTTGCTAATACCACACCATTTGCATTTTATTTCCAATTAAAGGGACTCCTCCAGCTATAGTAGCCAAAGCATATTTGATCTGGACAAGTTTATTAGATGGGATAAATGTAGTTGGCATTAAGCTGAAACTGTGATCTGCCATCTTTACTCGGTTTAGTCTCTGTAGTTCATAACACAATTGATTGTATATGCGTGTATTATCTTCCACATTCCACCCCCAATTAAAGTACTAGGAGTAGGTCTGATTACACAACAGTTGTCTATTGAATGGAATCATTATTTGTTAAATCCAATCATCCTATCTTTTCTAATATTTTTATGCAAAAGTCATTGTTTTAAATTAATATTATCTATCTATCTAAATTTATCTATTTTTAGTTGTTTTTTTTGTTATGCTGCCCATGCTGGTTCTCAATTCTGGGTTCATATAATACTCAAGTGACTGGGACTAGACGTGTGTACAGTGGTGCCCAGTAAAAAAAAAATCATTCTTGTATAATTATTAAATTACATTAATGGGCTGGGAATGTGGCTCAGTGGTAGAGTGCTTGCCTAGTATTCATGAAGCCCTGGGTTTGATTCCTCAGTAACCCATAAACAGAAAATGCCAGAAATGGCTCTGTGGGTCAAGTGGAGTGCTAGCCTTGAGCAAAAGAAGCTCAAGGAGAGTGACTAGGCCCTGAGTTCAGCCCCAGGACTGGCAAAAAAATAATAAAATAAAATAAAAAATAAAATTACATTTAATGTGGGGCCTCATCACTGATTGTATTTTAAAACTTTCATGTACTTCTCAGGAACTTAGCAAAAACTAAGGTGTCAAAAAACTAGGCTACATACATAGACTAGAAAGTAACCAGAATGTTCTTGTATTTTCTAGGCTGCAATTCATAGTTACATCCATATTAGCATTTACTAAGTGAGAAATTCCTAAAGATTTGTCCAAGAAATCTGCTATAGCTTATATGTCTATAGTATTACATATTTTCTCTTTCTTAATAGGTCTCCTATTATATGTTCAATGCATGCCTTCCATGCTGAAGTTGAAATTCTCTTTTATTATTGGTTGTAGGGCTTGAATTCAGGGCCTAGACACTGTCCCTGAGCTCCTTTGCTCAAGGCTAATCCTCCACCACTTTGAGCCACAGTGTCACTTCCCTGAAGTTGAAATTCTTAAATACAAAAGATAATATCCACACTGGACACCAGTGACTCACACCTGTAATCCTAGCTACTCAGGAGGCTGAGATCTGAGGATCATGATCAGAAGCCAGCCAGAGCAAGAAAGTCTGTCAGGCTCTTCTCTCCAATTAGCCACCAGAAAAAAGCTCAGGGACAGTGCCCAGGCTCTGAGTTCAAGTCCCATGACTGACACACACACAAAAAAGACAATACATATGATGCCATCAGTAAATACAAAGGTTGAAGTAGAATTTACTTGGTTTCCATAATCCAACAGCTAAAGTGGATATTTCTTCATAACTTAGAAGAAATCCTTGTCTATTCTGGACTTTCTGTCCTTATCTACTATGTCCTAGATTTTGACCACATAGCACAGGTGTTTAGAACTTGTTCTAATCCCACATCATGATCAACGCCTATAATTATCAGCATCACTGACCAGAAGCCATCAAGTTTCTTGTTATATTTGGTGCTCAGTTCCTTCATTGGTTTAAAAAAAAAAACCAACCTGTATTTATTCGGGGCCGATTATCAACATTCCATACTTCTCATTCCAATGCCTATCTATTCTCTTGCTTTGGGACTTATAACTGTTAAAAGATGCTAATGAAAGGTTGGGATCACTGTGATCAGCGAGGACCTCTGATGGAGCACCCAGATTGAGGAAGTTTAAATCTGTAATTACATATATTGAAAAATCTTTTCAAAGACATGAACCCTTCTTATCAGGATACAGGAAAAGACAGCTTGTCCAAGCAATTATCATGGTTCCCCTACTTCTCAATCTCAGTCACTTTCTCCCCCTACTTTTGAGGGTGGCCATACTACACTCTCCCAGTTCCACCCCTTCAATCAATCTACAAACCAGAACATATTTAATCTTGATTAACCTCCTTGCATAATCAACAAAATGGAAACAATTCCAGGACAGGACTGTCTGAGGAACAGTGCATCCATCTTAGAGTGAAATCATGGGTGAAAGGACTTTGCAAAGGTAGACTGACATTCTAACTTGACATGATTACCAACAGGAATTGTTTTCTCACCGTTAAGCTTTATATTAGAATGATGTTTTTCCTTGCTAAGAAGACAGATGTTATATAGGTTATTGTAATGAGTTAAAGGCCTAGGTTCCAGCACACTAAGCCAGTATACATGCCCAGTATACATGAGTGCTTACCTTGGGAGGTTTCCTTAACGATGCAAAGAAGAAATTTCAGCAGCAGGCACAGAGGGTCATAAACACAGCAGCCACATCAGATGAGAACAATGAAAGAAAGAGAGAGAAAAAAAAACAACAAAGGTAAATTTAGAACTTTGGAATCAGGATTTGACATACCAGAAGACAAATCAAACACATTCCTGCCTGAAGAGATAAACTCTTACATTTGCTCATAAATGAAGTACACCCTTAACAAATTTTCTCTATTCTAGGTTAGTAGAATGTATACAGATAGTCCCTCACAGCTATTTTTAGTGGTTCCAAGAAGTGGCAATGGAAAAACATAAAGATAAGGAAATGTTACAATTATTACTGCATATTATCAAATACATTTACATCAATTTTCACATTTAAATTTTCCTTAAATCGGAGTTGAAATGTACCTATATCACTCCTTGGGGAAATCTATATATTCTAATAGATATATTAAGGGTTTTTTTTCTCATTTAGAAATGATGGTTTGCTGGGCATCAGTGGCTTACACCTGTAATCTTAGCTATTTGAGAAGCTGAGATCTAAGCATCACGGTTGCAAGACAGTCCAGGCAGGAAAGTCCATGAGACTCTTTATTAACCATCAAAAAGCTAGAAGTTGGAGGTGTGGCACAACTGGTAGAGCACTAGCCTTGAGAGAAAAAGCTCAGGGACAGTAACCAGGCCCTGAGTTCAAGCCTCAGTACTGACAAACATGCCCCCAGACACACACAAACACACAAGCACTCATTTATGGTTCAGAGTTAGGGAACATTTTTCTCTGCCCGGGGACATTTAAAACATCATTTGAGGGCCATACAGAATTATCAATACAGGCAGATGGCCATGGGTGGTCACCAAGAAGGATTTGAGAAGCATATCTGTCTGTCCCATCGTGGACCAAATGATTTCACAGCCTTACACAGCCTGAGGGCTAGAGGTTCCTATCCTGAATAATAATTTTCATCTATTTCAACCTTGAATGAAATTTAAAAGAAATTGCATCCTTCCCGTCTCAACAACCACACATGCACTTTTTACAATGTTCACTTTGAATGTTAATAACTCCAAAGTAGCTGAAATTACAGCTGAAAAAAACTCTAAAAAGGAAAAAAATGTTTCAAAGTAACAAAATACTAAGTTGATATGCTTTGTAAATATTTTTCTCATGCATAAAATTAAGGCACTGAATTTGGTTCCTAGGTTTTTCTATGACAGTTCTTGGCCTTGTTGATGAAGTTATTCTTGATCAAACTCTCATATCATTGTCATAACTGTAAAATTACTGTAAATGAGAAATGGAAATTTTCCCCCATTTAATCCTTCTTTAGGAGTAGAATCATGGAGATTACCACAAAAAAAAACAACAACAAAAAAAAAAAACCAACAGATTTTCTGGTGACACATGCCTGTAATTTAACACCAACTATTTGAGAGGTAGAGGCAAGAGGATCACAAGTTTGAGGCCACTCTGGACAAAAGGCAGTATGGAAACTGGTCTCAAAAATAAAATAAAAACAAGAGTGGTGGGATAGCTCAAGGAGTAGAGCACTTCCCTATCAGGTGTTAGGCTCTGGGTTCAATACCCACCACTGCAAATTCATGAGAGGGAGGGTGGGAGAGAAAGCAGAAGCCATGGAATCAAAAGCTATAGGCAACAGTCACTCCATCATTGGATTAATCAATCCTCAGAGAGATCTGAGGGCTCTAAATAAAACCAAGAGCACAGAAGCATGGGAAGGATGCACATGGATTCCAGTCAGATGTGAAATTTCTAGACTTCCAAATGCAAGCAAAGAAAAGCATGAAATTCCTCAACTGATAAGCCTGAAATCTCACTATCTTGGACTTCCATGAATTAGCTACAAGGAAAGAAGCGTTTCTGCCTGCGGAATTACCCAGATGGGCACAAGGGAGATGTGACTTTTGTTTTCAGGGTTTCCTCTGGAATAACGGAATGTGTGGCTCTTATCAGGCAAGTCCCAACATATGTGTGTGTCTACCCATCAAAGGAAGATAAACATTTATAGCTGTCATAATAAAAGATGCATGAATCGTCTTAATGCTAAGAAAGCTGTGAATTTCCACTCTGCAGCACAGCTTGGGATTTCTGCCAAGAAGCTTGTCTTGAGTGGAGGAGGGCTCTGGAAGGCTCTGTACCAAGCAGGTAGAGCAACAATAAAAACTGTATGTGCTGTACTTTGAACTAAACCTTCTCTTACTTGGCTTGCTTCATTTTTCAAAAGCCATTTGAATCACCGCTTTACCTCACAAAGGAAAAGACAAGACACTTGAGTTTCAGGAAGATGATCACATGAAACAGCACGCACCAAGTTATAATAATACAGTTGTCCCAGGATATGAGGGTTACTATCAAAATCCACAGGCACTCAAGTACCTTTTATAAAATGGCATAGTATTTGCACACACCCATGCATATTTTTCTAAATACTTAAAAAGTCATCGCTAGATGACATAAAACAACTAAATGCTATGTAAATAGCTGGTACTGTTCGGGGAATAATGACAGAAAGAAAAAAAAACTGTACATATTCAGTACAGGCACAAGATTTTTCTCAGTATTTTTCACCTGTAGTTGGTTGAAGCTGAGTACGGGGAGCTCATGCATATGGGTGGGCTGGCTGTATGGCTTCCCAGTTTTGCAGTGTCAGAACAAGTATGCCTGCGAAGATGGAACAGGCTAGAGAGAATTCTGAGAGCTAGGAGCTCTCCAGAGTTCTCATACATGCTGCAGACTGCAACTACACACTGCTCATCACTGGCAGCAAAGAACAGTCTTGGTATGTAGCCAGACGTACATTTTACCTTCTCAGCTGGCCAAAATAAAATTACCCTTTCTTCTCTGCCATTCCAAGAAGGTGTGTTTTTTTTCTTTGTTGTTAGAAAACCAATCCCATTTCAGCAGCTTAAGTACTTCAACAGAGCATTTCTTCCAACCAATATAATTCTGCTCCCTTTTGTGGTTTGACTAAGGACTGACTGCCTGCTGAGAATGAATAGAGCCTGGGCAGCAGGGAAAAGAAAGCTACAATGCTCATTTGCTGCTTCCCAAATGTATTCATCATTTAGTTTAGAACAGAGATCCTCGATATGGTAGAAAAAGTCACCCAACACAGCATAGCTGCACTTTATTAACCAATAAACTTTTCCCTTTGCCTTTCAGCTCTGGCACTCTAACTCTGAACCATAATTTATTATCTAAATCCCCAGAGGTTGAATGCCATTCACTGGGAGCTGTGAAGAAAAACCTGTCCAATGGGAATACTACTGACACCATAATCACACACAGTGAGTTATATGATACTGGAGATTTCACCCATGCATGCAGGCAGACTGTAAAAATGACTTCATGGAAGGCCATGGAGCTGAGCTAGTGCTAATACTCTTGGCTTCTACATACATGAAATGCAACAAGCTCAGCCATTCACAAAAGGACTGGACATCAGCCATATCATCATTAGAAACTTCCGACCAGGACACTCAAACTTTAACCACAAATTACTTCTTTAACTGCTTCTATGCTGGTCCTGAAAAGCTTTCCCCCTTGTGCACCTTTTGGAACTGTTCAACTCATGAATTGCTCTTGGCAGGCTGACACCATACGATTCAGGTACCTTGCCTCTGTCCACTTCTCTCTCCCCACTACACCTGACCCCTTGTGGCCCATTCTTCAAGATCCAGTTTAAGGCGCAACTGTGTGAATTCTTCACTGATTGAGTGAGAACACCTGGGTCTTCATCACTGCATGACTACTTTGGGCAGGGAAACAGGTTAGCACTGGCTGACTAACACAGATATCTGTAGCCTGCAGTCATTTTGTTATGTTTGAATTTCCTGTATCTTTAAATTTTAAACCTCTTGAGAACAGATCGTCCTCCCCCCCACCCCAGTGTCATCCCCCCCTACCCTACCCCATGCCACATGCTGTTTTCATAATCCTTGTCCCTAATCTCACCTTCTCATGAGGGATTCAGACTGTTACAAGAACTCAGAAATAATGCTTTGACTGAATGAATTACACATAACCCAAATACAAGGATTGACTTGAGTCACTAGCACCACCTCACATTCTGGGGGCAAGATTAGTCTATACTGCACAATGATCAAGACTTCAGGGGAGCTGGAGGGGTGGCTCAGGGGTAGAGCAGGTGAATAGCAAGCAGGATGCTCTGGTTTAATCACTCCAGAGCCAGGTGGCTCACACTTGTAATCCTAGCTATATTAGAGGCTAGGATCTAGAGAATCATGGTTCAAAGATGGCCTGGGCAGAAAAGTCTCCAATTAACCCTAAATTGCAGGACTGGAAGCCTGTTTCAAGTGATTGAGCACCAGCTGCAAAGAGTCCTGGTACCAGCCCCAAAACAAAACAAAACAGAAAACAATGATTTTTTCTAGATCGAAATTTCATGTAGAGTAGAAGTTCAATGGACTGTTAATGAAAGCCAAACCCTAAAGGCCTTCTGAAGTAATCTTTAAATTGAGAAACCCACTGAACCCAGTTCCCTATGCGACACTTTATGGGCAATACTTTTCAGAGAATAGAACATGCTAATATAGGTTATTAATCCCATGGCATGTTCAATGCAGTTTCAACAATGCAGCCACACTTTGAATCCCTGTTTTTCCAGAAGGAGAGCTCCAGATTCAAGAGCGATATTTATAGTCTGAGGCAGATAAGGACAAAGCACTGTCAGTGTCTGCTTCATTCATGTTTTCATCTCAGAGAAGAGATGAACACTGGGAAGAGCCTGGAAAGATGCAAATCAAAGGAAAGGATGGATTAGCACCCTTCCAGGGAAAGTGACTGACTGGGCTGGGCATTGGTGCCAGATCACACATTGTTACTGGGTCCCAGAGAAGATAGGAAATCTGCACAGGTACTAGCCACTATCATGCTTTATTAAGTTGGTGAAATGACACAATGTCCCCCTTCTCCAAACTTATTAAAGCATCAGTCCCTGACTGGTTGGAATTAAAA